AAGACGGCCCCTAACGTCGACTTAAGCGGAACTATTGATAAAAATAAACCACAGTTCACCTTCTTGCTTCCCACACGCTTTTATTTGAAGACAATTTTACAATTTTTTTTCTAAATTTGACAGAATGCCGCTAATATCGTGTTGATTAAAAATAGGACATTTAGCTATTTTCAAGTAACATATTTCAAACTAAAAAAAAAGCCATTTTATGGGATTCAAAGAATAAGCAAATAATTGTTTTTCAAATATGTGAAAATCATTCTTTTGAAAATTTTGAAAAAAATAAGAAGAAAAAGGGTTCACCTATATACTCTTTCGCTTACTACGTAAAAGAAGCTCAGCTTATGAATTAAAATTTTCAAATATTGAATAATTAGATAAAGGTACCGTTTTTTGTAAGGACAAGTTAATACATGATTTATTTAAATAATGTTAATTTCTTTTTATATAAAAAGGTCCCGCTAATTGCATCACAATTTGCAAATTTCTGTTATGATCTGGAGCAATTTTTGGGATAATCTGCCAGTGATTGCTTACTTTTTTACAGTAAAATGTCTGGTTACATCTCTCACAAATGATAAAACACAAAATTCTTTGCTTCGTAAACTTTTCTGAGTTCCTGTTTGCGATTATTATTCCGATGCTGACAGATAATTTGTATTGAACTGTTTCTAAAGGATTGCCAATCTGTAACGAGAATATTTTGCTGTTTATTTTGTGTAAATCTGTTATTCGTAGACCTTCTTGTGTTTTGCTTGAAATCTTAATATTTTGTTGTCCTTCTCGTGTTTTTGTTTCGATATATCTGATAACAGTAACGGCACCAATTTTACTGCACCAGATGCGTATTTCGACAATTTATGACTCTTAAGTGACAGTTTTGAATAGGAATATCTAAGGTTTTTGTTGAATTTTACATGTTTTGTTGAAATATTCTTATAAATTATTTCTTTTGTAATCTTATATTGTGTTGACTATCATGTCTTTTTTTTGTTGTAAAATAGATGTTTTGTCCAAATTTACATGATTCAAATGTTTCTTGTGAATATCTAAATATTTGTTTGATTATCAATTGTCGCATCTAAATATTTATAAAACAATTTATAAAACAAAACAAAAATTTACTCTTGCAATGCATTATCTAGAAAAGTAATGTTGCCACTACAAAAAAATGTAAAAAATATTTGTTATGAAGTAAGTCACAAATTCTTGGTTGATTAGTTACAATATTAGTTAGCCGATGTTCAAATCTCGGAAATAAATTTACAACATACAAATCAAGTTAAGAAAATAAAACATACGGAAATCGACAGGGGCGTCAATAGGGTAATTGAGGCTAAGAAGAGTCAGCATACATGGATTTCTGACAAAAGTTCTTTGCCTTTGAACAGAACCAACTGAAAAAAGGTAAAAAAAGATAAAAGAGAAAAAAGAAGTCCGCTCCAACTAGAAAGATCACAAGAAATTAGTACATATTTAATAAAACAAAATAGTTCCACACATAGCTGTAAGTTTGTCAATAATCAAAGGGACATTAGCTACGATTTAGACAAAAAATTAAAGTGCGATTGTGTTTATTTCACGTAACAATAAAAGCGGAATTATTAGATAATGTTTCATTATAAGATGTCTATTTGGCCCAAATTTGTCATGTGACCTTCAATTTAACCCCTTAGCTAGAGATTGGTTACGCATGTACTAAGCGTGTTCAGCTATTAAAAGGAAAATAATGGCAACATTGAAAGTGAAGTTGACTGATTCTATCCACAAACAATCATTCTTTTACAGGTAAAAACGATAATTACATACATTTTGAACCAATAACATGAAATCAGACATAGACAAATCCAATTGCACATGTTCGCTATCTATTTATGTTTATATCCATGTTTGTATCGGTTTATATGACCGTCGGCAGTCTTCGTATGTCATCTCGATGGTTATTTTGATGGCGACAGGACTAAAAAACACACGAAATACTGATATATATTAGCGAGTCCATGAATTGTTACTTGTTTATTTTAGTTTGTTATAAATCAAATGTGAGAATTTGAGTCGAATTGATGAACATGAATTTAACAGCTAATGCCCCTTTAAAGTATTTGGTTAATTTTGATATCAAATGAAAGCTAAAGAACTTGAAGTTACTGTAGAATCCTTGTTGACAGTTTCTGTTTTAATTTTAAGTCTGCCTCATATCTTGTCTTACATCTAGAAATTGACAATGAGGGTCGGTTGAAAACAAAACTTTACGACGAAAGAGATGATTTCAGCTTCCCAATTGTGAACTTTCCATTTCTATGTAGCAACATTTCAGCAGCGTCTTCATACGGAGTATATATCTCCCAATTAAACGATATTCCCGGGCTTGTATTTCCTATCATGATTTCCTTGATAGAGGATTGCTGCTCACAAGGAAGCTATTAAACCAAGAGTTCCAAATGGTGAAGTTGAAATCATTCCTTCGTAAATTTTACGGACGCCATCACCAGTTGGTTGACCGTTATGGAATAACCGTTTCACAGATGATATCGGATATGTTCCTTATGTCGTAACTACAATACCCTTCCCTTTTCACGAATGTGACCTACCGAATTAGACTATTTACCGGATTGGTAATAACATAAGCAACACGACGGGTGCCACATGTGGAGCAGGATCTGCTTACCCTTCCGGAGCACCTGAGATCACCCCCAGTTTTTGGTGGGATTCGTGTTGCTTAGTCTTTAGTTTTCTATGTTGTGTCATCTGTACTATTATTTGTCTGTTTGTCTTTTTATTTTTGGCCATTGCGTTGTCAGTTTGTTTTCGATTTGTGAGTTTGACTGTCCCTCTGGTATCTTTCGTCCCTCTTTTCTGTTGAATAATAAATTAATAGCATATGAAATTAAAATATGAGGACATATTTGCCCTGTTGTTCAGATTAGGAGTACTTGTTTTTTTGTACTAACAAACTTCAGAAACCAATGCGCTCTAAAAACAATTAAAGGTATGTTGAATTTTTCAGCACAAGTCCGGATAAAGTTTTGAAATGAAATGTCTTCAGTTTATTTGAACTTAAAATAAAATAGTTTTGAATGCTTGAAATTGCTGAATTCAACTTAGAAAGCAATCGGGCTATAAATTATTTTATGTAAACTATGCTTACCTTTCCAGATAACCGCGTAGAATCTCCAACGTAAGGATTTGTTTTTGTTGATCAGATGTGCGCACATCTCTCTGTATTATAGTTGTTTTTTGTTTTTGTCCTCTTTTAATGTTTTTTAGGTTGAGGAATTTTTATATTTTGATTTACGTATTGGGAAATTTTAGTGTTTTGAAACGAATTTCACATTAGTTAGTTAAATTAATGCTGACCCTTTGCAACAATACTATGTCGAGTCTGTCAAGTAATGTTCTTAAATTACGACCCACTTTCGCTTTGTGCTGACGTTGTGTATCATTTGATTTACTTTATAGTTTTCCCCTTGTTAATCTTTGTACTATTATGTTCCTTTTGGTCGTATGGCTCATGACGTGGCCCGGTTTTTCTTCATCCAGTTTTCGGGTTTTTGGCTTTGGGCGTTCATGATGCGGATGAATCCAGAGGTTCGAATCGAACGCTTGAGGTTTTTATAGTGTTGTTTTCATTTTATATACTCTTATACATTTTACTTATTTGGTACTTTATCGGAAAAGTGCATATGTCATTATATTTTACTATACTGTATAAACTATCAACTACAAACCCGTTTTTTGTATACGTCTTTGCCAGATTCAAATGTATGTTTGTTTGAAACGTTAACCAATTATGTCTGTTTGGGTTCCTCAACCATTTTTTCAATATAACGAAACTATAAACAACTGTCATACAAGTGGGAGTTTAAGCTAACTATAAAACCAGGTTTAAACCATCATATTGTTCTTAAAAAGCCTATACAAAGTCAGGAATATGTCAGTTCTTGCTTTCAATTTGTTCCGTTGGTTGATATAGCTTGGTGTTTGTTTTTTTGCTAATACTTTTTTTTTGTAGCCTATTTTAGCAAAAGATAAGTACCGTGTGCTTGAACGTCACAATGGCATTTGTAAAATCAATTTTATTTTGAACGACGTTCGGAATTAAAATAAACATTTCTTTGGAAGATATTCTCTATAAATATTTATTAAATCGCAAAACCTTGATGTTTGAACATCAAGCATTCCTTTCTGAAGTCTCATTCTATGAATTTCACAATATGTAACTTTGTTTTACGAGAATCTGAACAACCAATCATTAACTGTCCCTTTTTGTTAAAACATATACTAACAGGCGAAATAATTCCACTATCTGATAAACAATTACAGATAAACTGCCCATCCTTAGAAAGGACATGAATTGCGTTTGTGGTTTCCTCAGACACCAGAACCAGACCTGATGATGTTGTAACAATGTCACCGGGATAAAAATCTTCTATTTCAACTTCGGCTTCTTCATCATCGTCGTCTTCTCCATTATCGTTTCTTTCTCCTTTTTCTTTTGCTGCTGCTGATACTGGATTAAGGCTTTGATGGCCACTGTATGTCCATTTCGATTGTCCCCATTTTCCAATCGATACTACTCTAGTAGAATAGTCTAACTGATCTTTCACATAAATATCTCCGTTGATGTCTGTAGTTATCTTTTTCGGAAGAGTAAATAACTTTTTGTCACTGTCGGTATCACATTCAACGCGTCTAATCTTGCTTGCATAATTGATATCTCTTAGTTCAAGAAATCCAGTAGAATTTCTCTCGCTATTAGTAAAACCGACAATAATCTCATTATCATTTGTAGCATGAATACCATAAAACATCAGTTTATCATTTGTAAACGACAGTGATATATTCTTAAAAGTTCCATTATTTCTAAGGCGTTTCATTTGAAATGTGTCATCGGATATTAAAACTTCTTCATTATAGTTTGTTATATCCGAAAATCTTGATAGATCTATGTCTGTCCTTTCTGAGTTCATCTACTATGTCATTTTTAGTAGTTACAAACTTTAAATCAGATATGGTGAAATACTTATTTTACGAGAACTTTCATTATACATAACACATATGTCATCATTTAGAGACACTAAACCACTAATCTCGGGAAAATTAACTTCAAACGTCTTAATCAAAACAACTTTAGGTTTATTGATTATTGATCCCAATACCTTTTCCATATTAACATCTATTGGCTCAATATAATACAGTTCTGGAGGTTTTACTTCCAAAACTGATTCCTCTGGTATAGCTCTACTGATGTTTTCTGCAGTTGAGAAAACTAAAGTTGGCTCTTGAGTTTGTGTGACTTCGTCAAGTACATGTTTTCGGTCCTTTAAATCTTGTTCTATTTGACAAAGTCGTTCACATTCTGTTTTTACTGGATTATTGTCGGTATCCCATATACCTTTCATAACTTCTACTAAGGCTAACGCTTCCTTTGTTACTGCTTCCTTTACTCCATTTTTCCTATTGAAAATTTTCTCTTTAATTTCGTTTTGTTTTTCAACCTCATCATCATCCCTTTTCCGAAAATCAGCCGCTTTCTCCTCAAAGAAAGGATAACATTCGTCAATTTTACTTTTTAAACCTTTCAGTAGAAAATATTTTTCTTCGTACACTTTGTTAAGTTCCTCATACTGAAATGGTCGGATTAAGCAAGAGGAACACAAAGATTTATCGCAACTTAGACAGTATGTTACACATTTCTGATCCACATGCTTCAAGCATAAAATCTCTTTCAAGTCCACTTTTCGTAGATTTTCCAACTCCTTAATACTTTCTCCATCTTTTAAAAGATCGACCTTGTGTTCAGATAATTTTTCACTCTTTGTATGAATTTTTGTATTTGCACACATCACAAAGATTTAGACTACATGACTGGCAATGCCATTTCACACCAGCTGATTCTTCACAAAATTGACAGTTTGCATATTTGCTAGCCATTTTACAAATGTTCATCCCATTTTTTTCACATATGCTATTTAGCAGGACTATAAATAATTACGTAGAAAATGTAATTCATCTACAACAAAAAAGGCTCTTGAAAAATTTCTATGGTCTCTATTCTTCTATAATTTAAACTTGAATGTGTCTTATCTAAATCTACCTGTGCTCTTTATTGATTTGATAGAATTCCACGTAAGCACTTGCGTCATATACTTCAAGTTAAGTTCATAAAACCGAAGTAAGATATTGCCATTTTAACAAAAGAAAAGAAAATAAATGATCACCTTGCTACAAATATACTGTATTTTAATATATTGCTGATTAGAGATATGCATTTATGGTCGTTTTTCCCGCTTATCCCAAATGAAAGACTTGAGAAGTGTCTGTTCCATTGGGAGGATTTAACGTAACTTCATAATGCATCTGACAATAAGTTAAGTTAGCATGGCTGTATCAACAAAAAATAAAGATTTTATAAACTTTGCTAAATTGTAGTATGAGTATTCTTACCATAGATATTATCAGGTCACTGAGATTGTTTTCTAGCTACAGGCTGTGCCTTCGACACATATTAGTTAATGATTGTTCACATAAAAAAGACTCCGAACAACCGATAATTTACTGTGCCTTGTTGTCAAATAGATACTAACACTGTCTGTTTTTCATTGTCTGTCTGAATTACAAATTATTTTGGCCATTCATAAGTAGGACATGCCTTGCATTTGTGCTTTTCTCGGCCACAAGACGCGGACCTGCCGATGTCATGACAATTTCACCGAGAGAAAAATAATGTTCTGAATTAATGCTTTGATGACTATTGAATATCCATTTTGGTAGTCCCCTTCTGCCAAACACTACTACTCTTCCCCTTTTTAAATCAAGACGGTCTAACACAAAAATGTATCCCGTTGACGTTTGTGGCTATCGTTTTTGGGACAGTAAATAATGCATTGTCACTTTTGGAATCGCATTCAACCCGTCTCATCTTCATCTTGTTTATATCGTTACCACAACCGACATTGGTTTGTTAGAACCAAAGAAGATGTCTTGTTATTGGTTAAACCTATGGTGACTTCATAATACTTCGCAAAGGCATATCATAAAATTTAAATTAATTTTTTGGTGAGCGACAGTGATAATTGTTTTTTTATGCCATTATTTTTAAGGGGTTTCATATCCGACGTTAAAATTTAGGTATCATGGCATGTTATATCCAAAATACTGGTGTTAAAAAAATTAAGACCACTCTTTCTTTCATCTAACTTGTCTTTTATTGTAACAAACGTAGAACCTGATATTGTGAAATACTAAAATTTGCACGAATTATTACTATAAATCATACATATGTTATCATTAAGTGACACTAGTCTACTGAACGCGGGGAATTTAATCTTCAGAAGAGAAAACTGAAGCTGGTTCTTGTTTTTCTAATACTTCGTGAGTGCATTTTGTCTCGTTCTTTAAATCTTGAACTATATAACATCTTTCGCGTTATTTTCCATATCCCATATACTTTTCTAAATTTTTACTAGGCTAAATGCTTTCTATGATACTGCACACCCAACTTCATTTTCCTATTAGAATGGTTGTTTTTATTTCTTTGTGTTTTGCGATCTCGTCATCTTCATTTTTCTAATTGTGACGACTTTCTCTCAAAGAAAGGGTTAAATTCGTTAATTTTACTTTTCAAATCTTTGAATAAAAGATATTTTTCTTCGTATACTTTGTTAAGTCCGTCATACTGAAATTGTCGGATTTAACAAGAGGAACATAAAGATTTAGGGTAATTCAGACAGTAATTTACACTGATCGATATGTTTTGAACATACAATCTCATTTAAGTCCACGTTTCTTAGATTTTCAAAATGCCCAATAACATCTGCATGTTTAAGAAGATCGACTTTTGCTCAGATGATTTTTTTTTCTTTTTGTATGATTTTTCTGAATTGCATAAATCACAAAGATTCAGATCACACGACTTGCAATGCCATTTTACAGTAGTTGAATCTTTACAAAACTGACAATTTCATATCTTATAGTAATTTTTCAGATGTTTATTCTAGTGTGCTTCACTTGTTTTCAAATAAGTACTAATGTTAAGTTAAGTTGATCTAAAAACAAAAATAAGTTTAAACAAATCAAGTTTGTCTTATCTTTAATTTACCTGTTTTTTTCTTTATGACTCGATAGAAGTTCAGGTAAGCATGAGAGTAATTCAATTATACCATTGAAACTAAAATTACCGTTGAAATAAAAGAAGAAGAATATGTCTAATCACCAAGCAACAAATACACCGTGTTTAAAATTTCCATTGATGTATCATTCTTTGATTACAGTTTTATTTTTCGCCAATCTTATTAAGGATGAATATTTAGGGAGTGTTAATATTCTATTAATGAATAACTGATGTTGTGTTGGGTTATTTTAAGACAGTACCAACGAAAATTATATATATATTTTTTATTTTTTTTAATAAAAAGGAGCTTATATTCTGCCATTGTTTTTATAAATATATAATGAGAAAAGCCACCGATCAAAAATTAAAATAGCACTATTATATCATTCAAAGGAAAAGTAGATAATATATTTTATCATAAAATATGGGAAAACGACTCTTATAAAATGTTTAGAAAGTAAAAAGTCAATACTATACTCGTTCTCTTGGCAGAACTTGGATTTCCTATCACGATTTACTGATACAGAGTCGATGCCTACAAGAAAGCTATTGAATCAAGGCCATCAGACGTTAACATTTCTCGATCATAGTTTTTGTATACCTTAAACCCTTTCAAATCGTGCTTCTTTCCTTCTTACAGCTATAATGCAATTTTTAGTTACAAACTTACAATCTGTTGTTGTGAAATATTTAGCTTTGCGAAAATTGAAAATATACATAACAAAGACCTCAACATTACAAGATCCCCTTTTTTTGGGGAAAACTAAACCTGAAAATCCCGAATAGAAACTACTTTGAGCATTCTAATTACTGATTTGAAGACTTCGTGCATATAACTTTCTTTTAGCTTAATATTAATAAGCTCTGCAAGTCTCATTTCCAATGCTGCTTTCTCTGGTATGTCTCTGCTGATGTTTTCTACAAGAAAACGAAAGCTGGATCCTATGCTTCTTACACTTCCTCAAGTGTATTACCGATTTACGTTTAAATCTTGTTCTATTTTAGAAAGTCTTTCGCGTTCTGTTAAAACTGGATTATTTTCCGTGTCTCATATTCCTTCAATAACTTTTACAATGTTTCATGCTACCTTTGATACAGTTTCATATTTCTTTCCTTGAGAATTTTTGTTCCCATATCTAGTTATTTTTGCGACCTCGTCATCATCATCCATATTGCTCAAATTAGCTGTTTTCTCTTTACTCTTTAAGGAAGGGTTGACATTTGTCAATTTTACTTATTGAATGGTATCCAGCATCACAGAAAAGACATTTATTGATAAAATGCAGGTCTTGCGCAGTAAAATTGGTACCTTTAATATTATTAGTGTCAACTTCCAATTTCTTAGCAACAACATACCCGTCTGCCCTAAACGTATGGCGTTTACATATCTCATTTAATACGTTACGTTCGTGCATGGTCACTTTGAACGGACTCCTGCTCTCAGAGAGTTATGAGGAAGATCGACTAAAATCGACACTAAATATGTTTTACGGTCACCATCACGAATTGGTTGACAGATACGAGGTGTCTGTGTCTTAACTCACTAGAGACATGTTTTCGTCACAGTCTTATACTTTTGAACATAATAATAGTTGTCTGATATGTAAATTTAGCGATTCTTACCTATCCCAGAAAATAACAACTTGACTGAGTTACGGGGTATGCATGCATAGCAGAACGCTTTCCCTTTAGACCAGCCGGTCTGGCCCCTTTGGAATTGCTCCGGAAGGGTAAGCAGATCCTGCTCCACATGTGGCACCTGTCGAGTTGCTCATGTTAATACAAACTCGGTTATAAGTCTAATTACCCATTGTAATAAATCAAACCTTAATTTGAAAACATTTTAAGTGTTAACATGGTTAATATTAAGGATTTAAATCATAGTGAATGGTCATTTCAACAGATGGAATAAAAAAGAACTTAAATAATTTTGTAAGGACTCAAAAAGGATAAATTGTTCAAAAAGGGATTTTTGTTTACCTGCAGGTAAAATTGAATACTTATGTATCTCCAATTCCTTTATTTGAAAAAGCACACAATGTTATATAAATCAATTTAATAAAATTAAATATATCTTCAACAAAGATAAAACATAATCAATAACTTTATTTCAAAATTACAATTGTTTCAACGTCCGATGATTTTTTATGAAAAATGTTTTAGTTTTTTTCTCTCAAAAATTTCCTCTGCCTTATATATCAAGAGTCATTGTTTCTTTTAAAAAAACGCTAACTCTAATGTCTCGTATACAAATTATATTAAATATTATTTTACCTTAACCTTTACGACGATTTCAATCATTTTTGTTCCATATATGTACCATTATATAACGTTTGCTAAATGTTTTTATAATTTAAAATTTTCTTTTATCTTGTTTCCATTTATAATATTTAGACAAGCAGTAGTACTCATGGTTTGTTTTCTTGCGCTCTTTTCCTATGGAAATTGCCCCATGGGATTATACACCTCGTTGGTGCAGTTATTAACAGTTCACTTTCTTAACTAGTCTACAATGAGAATCAATCGTGAATAGCATTTTTATAGTGCATGGAAAACCATGCAGTATGAAAAATAAAAGGGCAAATACTGTTATTCAATTGGACGAGAAGGGGTGGGTATGTTCTAATTGAAACATAGAGGTGATAATTGTTTTCTGTTTAACATGTATACTGATTAAACATATCATTCAAAATTCATTGTGTGATTGTAGATCAGAGTGTAGTTGGTTTAACTTTTTGATTCTCAAAGCAAAAATTTGGAATTTAAGAGTGATGATTGTTTGTCATTTTTGTCATTGATTGACATGTTCTTCTCTGTTTCGCTACACCGAAGAACAAGTGGTCAGTATGCTGGAGTTCCAAATTGACAATATATTTGTTGAATTGGGAGGTAGAATTATACAGCAGGTTGTCGGCTTTCCTGTCTGAACCAACTGTGCACCTCTCCTTGTCGACCTTTTCTTATTTTCATTGAAGTCGAATTTCCTTCAGACACTTGTAAAAAACAAGAAGCTAGATAATTTAATTTCACATACAGGTATATTAATGTATTGATGTTCTTTTCAATAACAATCCAATCTTTTCTGACTTGGTCCTTTTAATATATCCTCCGGAACTAGAGATTAAAGGAACCACAGATACAGATTTCTCCACCTCGTTTCTAGACATTTATCTCGAATTGACAACAGTGGTCATCTCAGTAGCAAAATCTATGACAAACGAGACGATTTCAATTTTGAAATTATCAATCTTCCTCACCTTAGCAGCAATATACCAACTTCACCATCATACAAAATATTCATTTCTCAACGATAGTCAAGATCTAGCAGCTGATACTCAGACTTTATAAATCGGTGTCTGACCAAACAATAAAAGAGACAAGGTTTTGTCAAAGAACGTCTCGTCCTTATTCTAAAAAGTTCATCGGAAAGTACCAAGACCTAATATATAAATATTCAGTGTCTACTTCACAATCAAAACAAGATGGTCTTGATCTATAGTTTCTAGGTGTTGCAGTTGTGTATGTTTTTATTTTACATTACAGTTTTCCCAAAATTTTGTATTCGTGCTATTGTATTTCTTTTGGTCTTGACTCGGTATCTATGCATCCCGCCATCGGGTTCTAGGCGTTCTTGGTGCAGGTATATACGTCGGTCCCGACCTGATAAATAAAAGTTTTACATTCTAATCAATAAAGCACTAAGGGTATTTGTTAAATATAAGATATAAACAAAAGGTACAACAATGAAATTCTTCACTGAAATGCAGTCCAATTAAAATAATTTATATTTTGCAAATATGTTTATTATGTAAGTTTAGAGAACTTTTTGTTTGGAGGATAGTGGTTTATTAGAAAGTGTAATTCATCTCTTCCTGAAACAAGTCGTTTGTGTCTATGTTTTTGAATAAAAGTTGGGCCAGTTTTTTCAAACTGTCTAAGTTTTCAAGCGGGAATACTGGTGTAAAGGGTAGTGAAGTAATATTATTTTTATACTATTGCAATACGAACACCACTTTTATCGTATGTTCTCTTACAGATATTTTGAGTTTTTATGTATCAAAATATCTGATTCACACAGCCCTAGAGTAAGTAGTGTCACACTTAAACTGAAGCCGGGCTTGGATTGCTGATAAAATCGATGTTTATATTTTGTAAAGCTATTTTGTAGACAGAATAATATAAAGTTTTGGAAATTAAAACAACACTTTATGTTTCGTGCCTCCGATACGCTCTTGTGGATTTACATTTGTCATGAACGCTCAAGCCTAAAGATTTAAAAAGAAGGGATGTAATGGAATGAACTTCATAACAGCGTGGATTTGGAAACCTGGCATTTATACGTTACCGTGTGTGTCACTGGAGACCCAATATAAAAATTCCTAAAACTTTGATACAAAACTTTATTTTTTGAATGAAAATGTGTAAGGATAGTAATTATGTATATCCCCAGTGTGTGTCCCCTGACACGCTGTTATTGCGTGAAATCTTTGTTGTTGATAGTTAGTGACACACACGATAACGTTTAAATACCAGGTGTCTCTATCAACGCTGTTATAAACTTCATTCTTATACGTAGAAGTGTTTGAAGCTATATGATAAAAGGACATTTAAAAAGAGTAGCCAAATTCATTGTTATGAGGTTAATGTTATTTTGCTATCAAGAAAAAAGCAAAGGAAGGTCATATTATTTTTTTTCATCTTTTATTGCTGTTCTAAAAGAATGTAGAGCAACCCTAGGATTAACTCATTTGTAAGTGACGTTGGAGAATATCTTCGGTTTTCAAAAAGTTCAATTAATGAAATTTATAAACAAAATGATATTGTCAGAGGCTTTGTCTAGGGGTACAACATATTTGTCGATGAGGTAATACAGGAGTTAAGTCACCTTTCAATATTTGATAATATATGTAGAATAAGTGTGCATATACTCGACTAAACATATTAGTATTTAAAAGTTGTGTTTCGGATTTTTCTAGCTTAATCAATTTTTCAAAAATGTGTTTAAACATTATGGACCAAATGCTGTGAAGCTATTTTTTCTTGATATATTCAAAGGAGCTTGTCTCTATATCATGTGAATTGTTTGCTGACTTTTACGTGTTTCGTTTGTGTTCCAAATACTTTAACATTCTTTTTAGGAATACCTAGTTGCATGGATTTCTTCTCAAAACAATTTACTAGTTGTCCTGAATTTTGGGTGATTTTAATTTCAAAACTGAATGCATGTTTGATTTCTCTCAACACAAGAGTCGCCAAAAGAAATATACAAGGCATCAATGAAGAAGGTAAAGATCATGTAATTGGATCTCAAATTTGGTTTAATATTAACTAAGATAGAAATATTTTTATTTGAAAATTGTAAGGTCAAGATGTAGGTCCATGTATGATGCACACATTACTCTAACGTTCCTGAGCAAATGGTAGCACCCTAAACTCTGATAATGTTCTATATTGGAACTATCTTTGCCCGTGTTATCTTATTTCAGTGTTTACGATGCCTTTTTATATACAGTTGTTGAATGTATGAGACAAAACTCTGTTGTTCTATTATCAAATTAAAGAACATTTAGTGAGAAAGTCAACATACCCAACGCCCCCATGTAAAGAGGAAAAGTTTTTAATGACCTTATGGCTCAGTTTCTTCTGTATTTTTTCTGTTTACTTTGAAGTATGATTCTTTTCTTCTATGATAGCATTTTTGTCTTACAACAATATATATAAGTAACTTTGACCTTGACAATGGATAAAGGGACAGCAAACCATATATAATCTACGAATGATTAAAAACGCATATACAAAGTATTTGATTTAGCATCCAGAAAACCCCTTTCCACACAAATTGTGTGGCCTATTTAAGTAAATTTGACCTTAGCCTTTGAAGTATTGACCTCAAAATCAATACGGATCTTCAACTCATAATATGTGACGATGTATGCAAGTAAGGTTGCGATCGAAAAGTAATTGATTTAGGATCCGTAAACCGCTTTTATGTACAAATGTTGGTCTATTTTAGTATTTAATACCTTGACTGTGATATGGTGACGTTAAAACTTATATAGACCTTACTCTCACTATATCTGATCATGTATAAAGGTGTAATACCACCATTGATTTTTCCCTATTAGTCTTAGTTATATTTGCACTTTTTCAAAAATTGTGCAGAATTTATCTATGTATCAAATAAAGAAATACTTGGCATGAGTAAAGTTTTATCCTGTCAAGTACTATAGACAAAATTTCACATGACATTTCATTGCATACAAGAAAATAACTATCACTGTAAGTTAACCAATCAAATTTTCACCTCTGTTTTTACCTGTGTACAAGCTTTAGTAACCATGTAACCTCAAGTTTCCAAAATATTCTATAGAAACACCAAATAAAAAAATAAAGGTGCTTTGAAACACCCAAGATCTATGTGTATGACCCAGAAATTTTTGCTGCAATGAAATGAAGGATTAATTTCCTACAACTGTCAAATTCAAGGGAATATTTTTTTTCAACCCTTTTTTGTATGCAACCGGATGTGACGTACTATGATTTTGTGGTATTATACCTACAAGAAAGGTTTTAATCTGATATAGAATATTTGAGTTAGTATTCGAAAACTAAAGTGACTGAAAAACTAACTGACACAGAGACGGACAGGCTAACGAGAAGGTCTAAACTGAATACCCGCGAGGGCTATAACGAAGTGTGGTGCATACAAAAACAATTTCGGGGATGATTAAAGAAATAAATTGGTAAATATTAAATATAAATCGTTTAGATTTTATTTTAATAGCAGACACACAACATAAATTTATAAACCTACTTTGGTGTCATTCCAGTAAATTCACCATATGCAATATGGTTTTTCCAGAATCTGAACAACCGATCATTAAATGTCCCTTTTTGTTAAAACATATACTAACAGGCGCAATTATTCCGCTGCTGGAAATGCAATTACAGATGAATTGCCAATCTTCAGATAGAACATGGATTGCATTTGTGTTTTTCTCAGCAACTAGTACCAGACCAGACGAGGTTGTGATAATGTCATTGGGATACAATTCATTTTATGAATTTATGCTTGGGTGGCCGTTGTATGTCCATTTTGGTTGTCCCCATGTTCCTATCGCTACAACTCTTCCGCTTTTTGCATTAAGATAATCTATAATACAAACATATCTATTGATGTTTGTAGTTATCTTTTTCGGAAGATTAAATAATGTTTTAAAGCTGTTGCTACTACAATCAACGCGTCTCATCTTGCACGTTTGAATAACAGGACTGATATCGAGAAGTTCAAGAATTCTAGCAGAAGATCACCCGCTCACAGTAAAACCCACGAGTATTTCATTATTGTTCGCAGCATGAATACCATAAAACATAAGTTTATCTGTTGTGAACGACGGTGATAATTTCTCAAATGTTCCATTAGTTTTAAGCCGTCTGATTTGAAATGTGTCATCTGACAGTACAATTTCTCCATTATAGTTGGTAACGCCTAATATTTTTACGGAAGCCGAAAAAAAGAATCCTGAATTTTTATTTATACTGTCATCAATTATTTCTTTTGTAGTTATAAATTTAGAACCTGATATTGTGAAATACTTAAATCTGCGAGAATCCGTGTTATACATGACACAGATGTAATCATTTAGAGATATTAGTCCATTCATATCGGGGAAATCAACATGAAACGTCTGAGGGTACAAAACTTTGGGCATTCTAATTACTAAACCTATGACTTGTTTCATAAAGCTCACTTTTGGCTCAATGTAAATCAGATCTGGAGGTATTATTTCCAACGCTGATTTTTCTGGTATGTCTCTACTTATGTTTTCTACAGTAGAGAAAACTGCATCTGGATCCCGTGTTTCTAATGCTTTGTCAAGTCTATTTTTTCTTGTCTTTAAATCTTGTTCTATCTGAGATAGTCTTTCGCGTTCTATGACTATTGGATTGTTATCAGTGTCCCATATACCTTCCATAACATCTAAAACGTCTAATGCTTCCTTTGATATTGAATCTTTGACTTCTTTCTTTCTACAAGAAATTTTCCTTTTTATTTCGTTGTGCTTTGCGACTACTTCATCGTCCATATTTCTAAAATCAGTTGCTTTTTCTTCAAAAAATGGGTAACATTTGTCAATTTGACATTTCAAATCTTTCAGAAAAAGACATCTTTCTTCGTAGACCTTATTTAATTCCTCATACTGAAATGGTTTGATTAAACAAGACGAGCATAACGATTTATCGCAATTTAAGCAGAATGTTACACTTTTATGGTTAGAATGTTTTGAACATGTAATTTCCTTCAAGTCAACTTTTCTTAAATTTTCCAAATCCTCAATAATATCTTTATCTTGTATAAGAAAAACTGTGTGTCCAGATAATTTTTCAATCTTTGTATGAATTTTTGGATTGCATACATCGCAAAGATTAAGATCACATGACTGGCAATGCCATTTAGCATCAGGTGATTCTTCACAAAATTGACAGTTTGTATATTTGCTAGCCATTTTTCAAATCTTGATCCAATTTTTTTCACCTTTGCTTGTAAACAAGACTATAGATAATTTTGTAGAACATGTAATTCATCTACAACTACAAAAGTTCTTGAAAACTTATCTATTATCTTTATTCTTGTATTATTTAAACTTGTATGTGTCTTTATCTAAATCTACCTGTGTTCTTTCTTGACCTGATAGAATGCCACGCTAAGTGCATGTCTTATACTTCATGTTAAGTTGATAATATCGAAGGCAGATATTGTCATTTTTACAAACCAAAATAAAATAAATGTTCATGATCACCACTCTACAAATAGACTGCTATCACCGATAGTGCATCATGTGTGGTTTTACTTTTCGACACTTGTCCCAAATAAAATAGTTCGGCTATATTTTTAAAAGATAACGATTTTTTTACTTTGCCAAAATGAAGTTTGATTGCGCTTTTCGTAGATATTAGGGGCCTCGATGGCCTAGTGGTCTAAGTAGTAGAACTTCTGTATCACTAGCTTGTCAATACTGAAGTTGTTCGAATCCCGTACGTGGCAGCACGGAGCTGACTACAGTCTTAATTGACTAGGATTGTAAGTTTTCCTTATCGAAGGTTGGTGGTTCTCTCCGGGCACTCCAGCTTCCTCTACCGATAACAACTGACCGCCACAAAAAGCACAATAATGCTGAAAGTGGCGTTAAACATCAAACAATCAATCATAGATATTAAAGAAACGTTAAGGTCACCGATCTGGTTTGATAGATGCATGTTGTGCCTACAACACATATTAGGTAATGATTGTACACATAAAAAAGACATTGACGTGTTTCTAAAGAAATCTCAATGATAGAATTGACTGAGTTATTATAGCTTCCTGCATTCTATTAATTAGAGACATACAATTTTGAAAAATTCAAACAATTGTCTTTTTTGCAACAAAAAAAACTAAAACATGACCATAAGATTTATAAAATTATATAAGTTTCTTCATTTCATTGAAAGTCTAAATAACTAATAGTATCTTCAATCAAACTTGCTATTTTTTGTAAAAATATCGACCTATCATCTTAAACTTGAATTTTTTAATAAATCATTTGCAATTTCGTATCAATGCCAGTTTTATAAAAAGCCGGATCGATGATTTTGAGTCATTTGCCATTGGAAGACTCCAATAATGAATTATTATGGACTTCTCTTTAATCAGATAATAAACTTTGAATGACTTTTTAAACACGACGTATCGACAGAAGAAGAGCTCTCATATAAAGTCAACATAACTTAATAATGGTTATTTGGTTATATTTTACTTAGTAAATGTAGATTTCTTACATTCTATGAAACTTAACGGAATTTTATGCGCCTGTCATAAAAGTGAGAGGTTAAGCTAGCAATAAAACCAGGTTTAATCCAACATTTTCCACATATGGAAATGCCCAAGTCAGGAATATGACAGTTGTTTTCCATTCTTTTGATATGTTTGAGCTTTTGGTTTTGCCGTTTGTTAAGGGACTTACCGTTTTGAATATTCCTTGGAGATCGGTTTTTTTTGTTATTTTCCTTTTTATAAAATGGTATTCATGTTTTCAGCGTCAAATTGGTTCACCACTCGTTATTTTGTAAACTGATTGCAGGTAATTTGTACAATTGTTTTTACTTTTGTATTTGGATTAAACTAAAGTAAGGCAGTATGATAGAAAGTTCAAGCTACATTAAATTTTCTTTATTCTTGTCAAAGTTGTAGTCCAATATGTTATTTTGCATGAAAATCTATCCAGGATTCTTCAACTTCCAATGTAAATGTTTTGTCGACTTTAACGACTTTACTATGTAATATCAATATTTTTGTAGACTTTCAAACGTTTGTTTTAATATCTTTCTGTTTTTTTTATGTTTCGTTTGAATATCTATGAAAGAGGAAAAAAAAAGACTGGTTTTCGTTGTGCACTTTGAGATATCAGATTAATGTATTCGCCTCTCGTATCAGGTGTAATATTATAAAACACTACAATTTTCCTCAATTAAGTACTGCATTGTCAGGATAATGGGCTTTTAATGCTTCTCACAAAACGTTCACCGCAGAGCCCCAGGAAGCAGCTCCATCTTATCTATGAAGCATCACTTTATTGCCGTTGTTTGCTTTTGTTTCTACATGCTCTTATCTTTGCATTAACCATGCTTATACATGTTACATTTTGTTGACACATTCAACAATACCTACCGTTATCTTGGTGATATGTTTTCGTTAAATAATCCAGAGTTCTCTAAATATACTAGCAAAATTTATCCAAAGGAACTTACTTTAAATAAATCTAACATAAACAGCAGTAGTTGTCCTTTTCTAGATTTAGACATTTCAATTTCTAAAGGGAAACTCCATACTAAAATTTACGACAAAAGAGACGATTTTTCATTCCCTATTGTTAATTTTCCTTTTTTGACGGCGATGTTCCTTTGGCTCCATCATACGGTGTTTATATATCCCAACTCGTTCGTTATTCCCGTGTGTGTAGTGATGTAATATATTTTAACGAACGGAATCAATGCATCACTGGTAAATAATTAAGTCAGGAATTTCGTTAAGATAAATTCTTTCATAGATACAAAGATTTGGTTAGTAAATTTGGCTGTACCTGTAGAAAACTTATTAAAAACGGTATTTCACATCCTAAATTTTACGGTACTTTTGTACTAAAAGCGCGGAAATCACTATATGATCCGTGTAAACTCATCGAACCTTTAAACAAACTTATTAGTAAAGGTTATCTTTTTAATGTTGTAATAAGATCTTTGAATATTGTTTACATAGGCACTATCATCAATTTTGTCATTAACAAATTAAAACGTAACTAAATTTGTGTTCTTTCTGAATGTTTTTTGGGATGTATAAATACACATCCACGTTTATTTTCTTTTTAGAGATTGCTTTATCTATATATTACATGATACATATTTATTATAATCCTAACGATACTACTGCCTGTCGATACTTTTATTTTGGCATTGCACAAGTCATGTGTTCTTTGACTGTCGGTGGCGTTAAAATACTAAATCCCTGGGATGTGTTTTAATTGATTTTAGTCTCTGATGCATGATTTTTTATTGAAAATTGTTTTTGGCTTTCAGTAATTGCGAGTACTCTCAAATCGTACTTTCGTGTTAATTGGACATGTTGACACAATTTGTAATGCATTTCTGTAATTCAATGCTTATTTATTTTGTATTATATCTCGTCGCACTATTTTAAATATGTACCACCTTTAATAAGTATTTAGTATGATGAAATTTTTATTTCTGTACTCGTACTCTGAACAACAAATTTGTTTATTTTGTTACTTTCGTACTCCGAACATCAAAACTATTATATTTCAATTTACCTGTGTACGGTGTTTTATTTAACGCCATTTTGTCCCAGGTTAGAGTTGTCCTTTTACACCATTCCTACATTTTTTTATTACTACATGTAACGTCTATGTTATATAGGCACCTCTGTTTTAATATTGTATTTATTGTATTTATATTGTGTCATAGATCAAACATATTCGTTCATTGTATGTTGACTTGTTTTTGTTTAAATGTCTTTTTGATCGAGTTAAGCCATTACAATTGATATTTTATAGTGTGTTTTTTTATGTTGTAATGTTACACTACTGTCTCAGGTTAGGGTGAAGGTTGGCGCCTGTTAAAACCTTTAAACCCGCTGCATTTTTATGCACTTAAGTCAGGAGCATGTTGTTCAGTGGTTGTCGTTTGTTGGTGTGGTTCATAGGTGTTTCTCGTTTCTCGTTTTTTATATAGATAAGACCGTTTGTTGATCCTGTGTGAATTGTTTTACACTAGTCATATTGGGGCCCTTTATAGCTTGCTGTTCGGCCGTACTTTGACCTATTATTGCTAACCTTTTATACATTGTGACTTGGATGGAGAGTTGTCTAATTGGCACTCATACCACATCTTCTTATTTATATTATAATAATGATTTTTTTCCAATATAAAACAAAAAGATGTGGTATAGTTACCAGAAACAAAAATGACGTAGATTTAGGTAACTATAGCTCACCGTACAGCCTAGAACCATGATGAATACCAATTCCGTATAGTAAGTTATACACAACCAGTGCCATAAATGGTCCGGGATCTGCTTCCCCTTCCAGAGCAACTGATATTACCCATGGTATATTCGAAGGGTTCTTGTTGTTCAGACTCTAGTTTCTATGATATGATGTGTAGACTGTTGTTTACGTTCGTGGTTCTTTTTTGCCATAGTGTTGTCTGTTTGTCTCCGCCTTTTAAAATCCCTTTGGTTTCTTCTTCCTCTCTTCTATAAAAAGACAGGATATAAACAAATGTAAAAATAATTCATACAAGAAAACAAACGGTCCTATTGATGTAAAATTCAATAAACGAATATGACAGACTTCAACCAACGACAACAACTGAATTACAGAATTCTGACTTAGGACAGCCCAAACAGAATGTAATGGATTCAAACATGTTTGCAAGTGCTCAACCCTCTCTTTACCTTCTACATCGGTGTATCAGCACATAAGAACAAACAGTAAAAAATAGTCGAAGAGGGCTTGGACCTTTACATTTGCATATATCACAAAAAAACTTACATAAAGACAAAAGACAAATGGCACCATTCGAAGAGTACTCACAATTACTGAAAACTAGTACGAAGCCGATTACAACTAACAAATAAATCATGTTTTAATTCATGAATATTAATCAGTAAATATCAAACCGATTGATTTTTTTTTGTATTGATTTAAGTAGTGTTATTGTTTTCAGTATTTACTGTCTTTTATATTGGTTTTTGTTATTCGACGTATAATCGGTGTTGAATCTTATATTAGACAAAACTACGTGTGCCGTTATATATATCTTCGTTATCGAATAATAATGCAGCAATAATGCAACTGAAATAATAACTTGGCAATAATGTTTTTTCGTTATAATAAGTATTTGGAATGATAAATTACAACATGAACTATCCATTCTGCTAATTACGCTCCTC